TATCCTAACTGCGAATAGCAGGCCCGGGCTACCCCTAGGACAGACAGGTCCTAAGGGCCTAAGCTGATAGACGGTCCTATAGCCTATAGCCGGGTAGGGCGAGGCCCTCCAGGCCGAAACAGAAAACGGTACCGGTTGGTTAGTCAGTCCGGTCTAGGTTGAATCTAGGCTAGTTTAGACTATAGATAGGATGGGCACATCGGTTCAGGGCTTTTGGCAGTTGGTACCGAGTACATCGCTGCCGCGCAACGCCTGAACCGGATATGGTGACGGCTCAGCGTGGAGACAAACATAGCCAGACCTTCGGAGCGTCGGCCATAGCTGGGACCTGCGAGGGAAGTTGGTGCCCTGCTGGACCCTCCTCCGGAGTGGGATTCCAGGGTAGTGGCGCTGCAGCCATAGCTGCAGCTTCTTCCTCAGAGGTCATATTGTCAGGAGTGGTGGCGCTGCTGCGGACTTCCACCCGGGAAGTCTTTCGACACTTTGTCATCATCAGATACTGTGGTGCTGGTCTTCTTCTTCATCCTCTGAGTGGTGCTTGGCCTCGAGGCCTGTTTCAAGGTGGTGCTTCCCTTTGGAGGCTGTATATGGGTGGTGCTTGAGGTTTCGGGGACTCAGGGGTGATAATAGCGGTACATCAGGGTTGGGGAGTGAAGCGCTGCTCATTTCTGAGCAGCGCATCATAGTTCTGAAGTTATTCTAACAATTCGAGAAATTTGAGTATAATAAACAATGTTGATACTGGGTTCAGACTATCATTGCTTCATTGTTTCTTGGATGTGATCTACTCGGCTTTCCTTTATGATTGGTTGTGAGGATTGTGTGGAGTGAATTGCACTTTCAGTGTACCCTGTCATATCACATGGTCAAGTCTTCCGCTGTGTTTATCTCTCCCTGTGCGGTGTGATACTCCTATCCTCTCCCCTTCCTTTTGTGTATGTATGGGCATACCTGGGAGTCTATGTGAGTGAGTGTTGGTCTTCAGACAACAGACAACCAGAATCATAATAGTTGGTATCGGAACGATTGGATCCAGACTCTGGAGTGATTGATGAGTTGGACCAACCATCATCATCAGGCGAGATACTGGAGTTAAGTCTCATGGCGATTCATCATCTTCAGGGTGGTTGTCAGTAAGGGTGGTGGTAGTGAGTGTGTGGCGAGAAGAATTGAGTAGAGAGTGACACACTCCTGTCTAGGGCTGTGCAGGAGTGGTTGGCGATTGATGCTTAGAGGCTTGGGGGGCTCTGAGAGGCTAATTTTAGCCTGGCGATTCATCTATAGACTGGCGATTGGCAAAAGAGTGATCCCAGGAGGGTGCGATTTTGGAATTGGGTCAGGATCCCCAATTTCCAAGCAGCGCAGTACAGGGTGGTGTGGTGCTGCACTGAGGTTGTCAGTTATCAGCATCTGGGAGTCCAGATTCAGTGAATCTGTCGGTTGCGGGTGAACGCCTCAGGGTAATCTGCTGGATCACCAAGTTACAGGAGATTTGGTACGTGGGAACACTGGGAATCAATAGGAGATGAAACTGGCGAGATAGAGTTGATCAAACAGCCATAGCCCAAGTTTCACTCATCTTCTTCAGAGTTGACCCTGAGGTAAGTGTGTTCCTTACTCTACTCTGTGTGGCGATTCAGGGTCGATTTTTAGAATAGTGTAATGACCCGCCCAAAACACAGACTGAGAACACTGCTGATTTCTGGGATTTGCCAATGGAATGAATGCCTTGCTGTGATTCCCGCATTCTGCTGTGGTCCCAAGTCTGTGTGTGTGCGTGCCTGCTGGATTGCATGCCTGTCTGAGTGCTTGCCGGATGTGTGTGTGTGCGTGCCTGCTGGGTTGCATGCCTGTCTGAGTGCTTGCTGGTTGGGTATGTGTGTAACCTGCCAGGGTACTTGTTGGTTGCAAGGCCCACCGGGCCGGTACTTACCTGTGGCCGTGACTTTGGAGGGTTGCAGGGGGGTAAACATGCCGGTAGCGGGGAGTAGGCCCACGGCACTTAGAGCAGCTGGGGAAAAACACTCAAGTAGCAGGTAGGCCGAGCAGAAGAAGACAAAAAGTTGGCATTTTAAGAGGCCCAGTAGCGGTAGGTTAGAGGTAGGCCGGTACCAGTCCAAGTAGCCCAGGTCTAGGGCCTGTGCGGACAATAACAGAGCCTGCAATGATGTTTCCCTCCAAAAGGGAGGAGGTACCGGTTGCTGGGAGGCCGCTCGGCCTAGGAAGTCACCGCCCAGGAGGCCGGTAGGCCGCTATATCTTCAGGAAGAGCGGTGAGCTCTTCCTTGTTTGCGGTATGCAAGGATTGGCGACATGCTGCTGGAGCGCAGCGCTGGTCTGAGGCAGCGCTGCTTGGAGGTGAAGGTCTGCTGGGGCTCAGCCTGGCTATGGCGAGCACCCCAGCTTGAAGGAGGAAGAAGGGGGACATGGTAGGAGAGTGGTAGGGCACTTACCTGGCTATGGTGGACACCGTCTTCATCACCTTGTTGGGCGCTGCATCTGGAAGGCCCTAGTTGGGGTAGCGCTGCACCAGAGCAGCTCAAGGGAGAGTCAGGCATAGCGGACCAAGTCAAGCAGTGGCATAGTTGCTTTGGGTTGTCTTGGGACATCAGTGCGGCATCATAGCTGCCTCCCGGTAATCCGCCATGGCCTATGCATGAGAGAGGAGGATGAAGGAGGGAAGCCATGGCCATGGTGGACTTTTGTTGTTGTGTTGCAAGTTGAGTCAGCAGTAAGGGGGAACTTCGGATATTGATTCTGGTACATCCATTCATTGTTATTATTATTGTTGAGAGAAGAATAAGATTGGCGGATTGAAGGAGGAGGAGGAAGGTGGAGAGAGGAGGGGGAAATTGTCATTGGTCTTGCTGGTGTACTTCTTCTTCTTCTTCTTCTTCTTCTTCTTCTTCTTCTTCTTCTTCTTTCTCTCTCCTCCGGTCTTTATCTCTTTGCAAGTGCTTTCATTTCCTTCGCAATTTGGTGGCATTGTCTTTCATTGTGAATTTGCACTTTGGAAATGACCGGGATCGTAACAATTGGTATCGGAGCGGACTTACTTGCTGGCAAGAGGTGTTAGTCAACCTAACCCTAATTCCGAATTAGGTTAAGGCTGACCTAATCCCGGATTAGGGCTGGGAAGTTAGGGTTAAGTGGGGCAGCGAGGTATGGGGATGCTGCCCCCACCTGGTTAGGTCATGTAGGGTCGACATTGGACCCAACCAGGTTGTTTGAGTGAATRTATGGGGTGGCGRGACACAAAGGAGGCTGWTTGGAGTAAGCGAGAGGGAGTAGAGAGTGAGAGGTACTCGCACCTGGAWTCTGGACTTCAGGAAGACATTGAGTGACTTTTGGGCTTCCCCTCAAGAGGGAGACTTGATCGGAGGCTGCCATATCTGCATCGGATTGCTGCAAGTTGCTACCTTGGTCTTCAGGCATCGACGGGGGATCCGGCTTTGCAACAGGGGTGTAGGAAGGCCCTCTTAGTCATGCTAGGACACTTCGTGTAGTGGTAGCTAGGGGTCAGGAGGACTTATATGAGAGGGGAGTGACTCGTATCCATCTTTGGAGGCCGGGCCTCACAGGTAAGTGCTGAGTGACCGGGGAAAGCCCGTGGGAGGTTGCTTGGTGCTTCATGGCCTGTTGGGGGTGTGCTGGGTTCTCTTCCTCTTCTCTGCGGTCTTGGTTGTGTGTGTGAGCTTGTGGATTGCTTTCTTACCTGATGTATGGATGGATGATGTATCTACTCTAAATGACATATCTTTCTACGGTGCATTGTCTTTTCTTTTCTGAACGGCTGTAGAAGTGAGTTCTTGCTGAAAGTTGTCTTTTCCTTTTCAGCACGGTAGAGGCAGTTTGGGACCGACTTGGTACCCCTATCACGCTGGTCCTGGTCCACGGCCTACTTGGGACCACTCGGGACCCAGTGGGACCAGGCCCAACGGGACAGGACCTTTTGGGCCCAAATCTGTTGCCGTCAGTGCATTCTTTGCTGTGTTGCATCTGGGGGGACACACGGACAACAAGGCCATTCCTTTCAAGGGGATCTTGACTGGCCTTACCGCAGGTTAGCACATACCGCCTCGCGTCTGATTCGGCGACCATCTGCACCCCTCGAAATCTCCATTGCTGCAGATTAGTCTTCTTCGTCTGATTTATTGTGTTGACATGTCCTCTGTCAGGTCAGACAAGAGGGGATCTCCAGCTGATCTGATCGGGCCCGTTCTATAAATCAGACCTCTCTGCTGTTTTGTTTTATTTATTTTTATTTTTTTTATTCTTCTGCTGCGTGCCACGTTCTCAGTCCAAATGATTCGCCGCTCCGGCCAGGAGTTCTACCTTCTTCTTTGAGTGGTTTCCTGTTTGTTTCTTCTATCTGAATTATCTATGTCCGGTATCGAGACGCGTGYGCAGACAGCGAAAAGAGAGGAAAGGGAGAGAGAAGGTGTGCTGTTTGAGAGTGTGAGAAGGGGCAAGAGGAGTGTTCGTCCAAACGTCAGGAGAGAGCGGACCCCTCTTGAGAGTTCTACTGACACCCCTTCCTCCGGCATGGCGAACATCACTTCTGCCCAATGGCAGGCCATGCTGGATACAGCGGACGAGAGCCAAAAACCATTCTTTCAAAAACTGTATGATGATGCCGTGCAGAGAGAAAGGGAGGCAGCGGCGGCAGCTAGAGCCGCCGACATTGCTGATCAGGTGGCTCTCCTCCGGATCCCGGAAGCTAATGCTGACCGGTTCCGGGAGGAACTAGCTGCTGCTGTAGCAGCCTTGGTCCGACTGCGGACCTTGGAAGACTTTGAGTCTCGTATGACAGCACTTGAGCAGCGGAACGAAGAGTTGCAGGCTAAGGTGATTAGCCTTGAACAGTCCCAGCTGTCTGCCTCCCGCCCTCCTAACCCTCGATCTGCTGTAATCCCAGTCTCTCAGCCCAACACAACCCTCATTCCAAGGGTCTGCGGAACTGCGGTAAGTGCAGGAACCGGAGCAAGCTCTGATCGCAGTCCCAAATGCAGGGAATTCAGCCCAAAACGCCACAGTCCTTACTGGCGTTCAGTACAGCGGTCCCATGGTGGACAAGCGGGCGGCCACGCTGCCGTCCAAGTACGACGGGAAGGCTGACATCACCTCTTGGATTAGTTCCATGCGGTCATACTTCGAGGTCATGCGGACACCGCAAGAGGACCGAAGTATGATCATGGGAACTAATACCGAGCCTGCCGTAGGAAACTACATTGAGCTCCAAGCTGTTGCTGCAGGCTATGCACGCGTAGACCTGACTGATTGGCTGAAGGTCACCCCTGTTCGCACCCTTGAGGATCTTCTCCTTGACCCGTATCAATATAAACATGCTGCGCTCAAGGCTAGACTGAAGCTTGAGGCCCTCAAGGGCCAAACATGGAGGTCATCCATGCAGGCTTTGGAACAACACCTGACTGGTCTATTCACCACTCCGGATCTAGGAATGACTGACGTGTCTTGCATGGATGTAGTCATGGGAGTGGCCCCTAAAGAATACCTCTCCCTGCTAGCACTCAAGGACCATGCTACCTGGCGAGAGCTCATGAAAGACCTATTTGACCTAGAGGCCAAGGACCTCGCAAGGCGCAAGAAGGCGCCCGCTGCAGGTGGGAAACCACAACGCAAGCGGTTTGGAGGCAGCAACCAGCTTGCACTGCATGATCATCGGGAGGCTGACGATCAGTCCTATGCGGATGATCTGCCTCTAGATGACGATCTAGAGCCGGACTCCGATACGGGCTGTTCCATATCAGCCATTGAGTGTGACCGAAATGATGATGAAAAACTTAATGCACTTAGAAAGACTGCTTCAAATAAGGGGCCTAACCGTGGTTCGGGTAAGGGAACTGCCTTACACCTTCCCAAAAATGCTAAGATCCCTGAGAAACCGGAGGACGCTTCTACGAAGCCTTGGGAAGCCCTCCGCATCAGCCAAAAAGAATGGGAAAGAAGGTCCAAACTGCGCGTATGCTTGCATTGTTCAAAGCCTGGGCATGCTGTGCAGGATTGCTATCGTCTTCAGGGAAACAGGCAAGGGGCGTAGAGGAGACATCAGCACTCTCTACAACAAGAGAAGCTGAGCAGTCAGTTGCAGGCCCCTCCGAGGAGCTTGGATCTGATCAGCAACGTGCTCTTGAAGCCCAAACTAACGCTGATTCCAAGGCTGAGACAGTCCAAGTGTTATACACTGAGCCTTGGGAGGAGTCTAAAGAGGTCGACCTCCACACCCACATGGAGCATTGGCTGCAGCTCAAGCAGCAACGCCGTGTCCAAGGGTGCATGGAGCTGACTTTCTTTAAACTGCTCATTAACCGCCGATACATCCGCGTGCTGATTGACAGTGTTTCGACCACTTCTTCTCTCCGAACGGGATTCGTAAGGCGGGCCTAGGTATGAAGCAAGTGGAACTGCAGAACCCTTGCCGGACTCAGGTGGGCAACCAAGAGGTTGACACTTCCACTCATGCTGTCAAAGGTGTGGGCATCACCTTTGACAAAGACCGCACTGTCACACACGAGCTGAATTTCTATGTCTTGGACAAGTGTCCTTTCGACGCGGTCATTGGCTTGGGCTGGCTAAAGGCTCATTGCCCAAGGACCACATGGGCGGACAATCAGTTCGTGGTACTTGATGCCAAGGGGAACGAGCGTACCGTCTTACTAGATGAGACGCGCGAGTCCCCTGTGACTCTTCTAAGTGCTACCAAATTCTGCAGGTCAGTGCGCAGGCGCAAGAAAGCTAGGTTTGTACATATAGCTCTTGTAAAGCCTTTCCATGTGCCTTCTACTTTTGCTGCATTTTCTACCTCTGAAGGTAACTCTACCTCTACTACTTCTACTTTTGTTCCACCTACTTCTGCTGTAAATGATCGATCTAGTGCGGAACCAAATATTTCGAAACCGGTTGTAATTGCTGTAAATTCCCAATCTGATTTTCTCTCCCCTGATGAGGATGATCCTCCACCAGAAATCCCAGCGAACATTCGCCATCTGTTAGATCGATTTCCTGAGGTATTGGCTGAACCCCGCGGAGTTCCCGAGCGTCCAGTCAAGCACAAAATCGAGATAATAGAGGGAAGCGTTCCTCCAAAGGGCTGCGTCTACCGTATGGGACAAGGCGAGTTGGAGGAGCTGCGGAGACAAATTGATGACATGATTGATCGTGGATGGATTAGGCCTAGCGAGTCTGAGTGCGCACCTGATTTGTTTGTGCCGAAGAAAGGAGGCAAACTCCGGATGTGCATTGATTATCGTGGTTTGAACCGAATCACAAGGAAGAATGTCTACCCTTTGCCTCGTATAGATGATCTGTTGGATGCGGCCGGTGGATGCAAAGTCTTCTCCAAGATCGACCTCAAGTCTGGCTACCACCAGATTGAAGTTGATCCGAGCGACCAGCACAAAACTGCGTTCAAGACACGTGATGGGCTGTACGAATTCATCGTTATGCCCTTCGGCCTTACGAACACACCAGTCACATTTCAGTCCCTCATGGACAAGGTACTCCGCCACCAACTTAACAAGTTTGTGGTTGTGTAGCTTGATGACATTCTGATTTTCAGCAAGTCAATGGAGGAGCACGTCAAGCATCTCGAGGAGGTCTTGCAAGTCCTCAAAGATGCTCAACTGCACCTCAACTTGGAGAAATCTGAGTTTGGCAGGGACAACGTTATCTACCTTGGGCACCGGTTGTCTGCAAGCGGTCTTGAGCCGGAGGCAACCAAGGTTGAGGTCATCTGCAACTGGCCTCAACCGGCGAATGTACGCGAGGTGCGTTCTTTTCTTGGTTTGGCTTTTTACTACCGGAAGTTTGTGCCTAAGTTCTCTGTCATTGCTCACCCACTCTCACGCCTGACTAGTAAGAATGTTGCCTATGCGTGGTGTGAAAAGTGTGAGACTGCGTTCCAAGCCTTGAAAGAGGCTTTGGTGAGTCATCCTGTGCTCCGCATTGCGGATCCCAACCTCACATTCGTAGTCGCTACGGACGCGAGCCAGTTTGGGATTGGTGCAGTGCTGCAACAAGATGATGGCGATGGTCTTCGTCCGCTTGAATATTACAGCAAACGCATGCCCAGCCACAAGGTAGCCACTTCCACATACATGCGGGAGCTCTATGCCTTGCGCGAGGCGATCACGCATTGGAAGCACTACCTCTTGGGTCGCCACTTCAAGGTCTATTCAGATCATCAGACCTTGTAATGGATTAAGACACAAACTGATCTCTCTCCAACTCTGACCCGCTGGCTGCATGACATTGATGTTTTCAACTTTGAACTAAAACATAAGAAAGGCTGCTATAATCGTGTTGCTGATGCTCTGTCACGCCATCCCAAGTATTTGACTTGCCTTGTGGACTCGTACGACCTCCGGAGGAAACTGAAGGAGGATCTGGTCGAGCACACTGCCAAGGATCCGGACCTTAGTCCCATCCTTGAGCAGCTCAAGGCTGACCCCAACAGTCAGCCTGATTTTCATGAATGTGAGGGTCTTGTATTTCGCTGGTACGGAAAGTTTGACCGTTTGTGTGTACCCAACCATGCGCCTCTCCGAACTCACTTCTTGGATCTGGCGCACAATCGGAGTGGACATTTTGGCTTTGAGAAGACTTATGGAAGTCTTCTGCAACAATTTGACTGGCCAGGAATGAAAGGATCTGCTCAAAAATTTATTGTTGAATGTCAAGTATGCCAAAGGATCAAGGTTCACAGGCATAAGCCTTATGGCCTACTGAGACCTCTTCCCATTCCCGATGGACCCGGCGAGTCGATTTCCATCGACTTCACGGACATGGGAAAGGTGAGTGAGGCTGGGAATTCACAAGTCATGGTCATTGTGGACCGCTTCTCCAAATTTTTGAACTTGATTCCTCTCCCTCCTCACGCCCCGACTGAACTTGTCATAGAAGAATTCCATCAGCAGTACATTTTGCAGTCCGTCGTCCCGAAAACTATTGTGAGTGATCGGGACACCAGATTCATCAGCAAAGATTGGAAAGACTTCACATCTGAAATCTACGACATCAAACTGAACAGGACTTCTGGTCGACACCCCGAAGCCAACGGATTGGCTGAGGAGATCAACCAGATTGTCATCCAATTGCTTCGCGCACTAATTGTTCCAGATCAGAACACGTGGGACAAGGAATTGCACAAAGTGAAGGGGCTGTACAACAACTCCATTCACTCTGCGACTGGTGTGACACCAAACCAATTGCAGTATGGATGGCCGATGCGTAATCCCCTCTCCTATCTGTTCCCTGAACGGTCACCTGGTCTGATGCCCGGCATGCCTGGCTACAATGCCAAGTACGTACGCTTGCTTAAAGCTGCTACAGCAGCTATGAACAAGCGCCAACATGCCATGATCAAACATGCCAATAAGCGGCGCAAAGAAGAAATGTTCAAAGTAGGGGATTATGTTTGGGTCAAAATGTCTGAGTTTTCTGATGAAGAGGGCATATCACGGAAGCTTCTTCCACGGTACTACGGCCCTTGGCAGATTCTGAAGGTAGTCGGGGATGATTTCGGTCCTTAGTATGTGATTGGCGTGCCTCCTCATCTGCGCACGTATCCAGTCTTCCATGCCTCCAAACTGTTCCCACACATTGATGATGAGACTTTTCCCTTCCGTGATCCTATGATACCTCGCCCTATTGACGGGTGCCATGAGATTGACAGAATTGTTTCTCACGAGGGGAGAGGAAGGAACAGACAGTACAAAGTTCATGTCCTCTACCACCCGTTGAACGAATTCTTCTGGATCGACCAGAAAGAAATGATAAAGAGTGCTCCACGTGTTGTGAACGCATATGAACGACAGATTGTTGACGGACAGACCACTAAGTCTGCTGCAAAACTCACTCCGTTCGGACTCACTAACACTCTCTTTTTGATCTATGCCTATGACGCCTTCTGTGCCGACTCTGACTGAGTTACTCGCTCGAAGGGACCTCGCTCTCGAGAGGGGAGTAATGTAATGACCCGCCCAAAACACAGACTGAGAACACTGCTGATTTCTGGGATTTGCCAATGGAATGAATGCCTTGCTGTGATTCCCGCATTCTGCTGTGGTCCCAAGTCTGTGTGTGTGCGTGCCTGCTGGATCGCATGCCT